AAGTGAAATGCTTGGCGGCAGATATTTAAGAAGATCAAAGGATAAAGAATATTTTGATGTGGAATCGAAGGAACAATCAATTCTGAAACAATTGATTAACATTTTGCAAATGAAGCATTTACTGTACCTAATGCATTCTGTTGTTCCCACCTGCGTTCTCGTTCACCACAATATCATTCACCATTCAGCCAAATAAATACGTGACAATTTAAAAATGAAATCTTCATTATTTTCTTAACTATTGTTATTTCTCTCATTCTCGTTGATGGTACAGATTAGAGTTATCATGTTGTGTTTTGTATATCTTTTTAATGTCGGTTTTATTTCAGGCTACTATAGTTACTTATACTGTTTATTTGTGAAATTATATCATTAAAAAGAACTAAAGATATGAATCCTTTTAGTATGTACACAAAAAACACTTCACTAGTTTGGTTTACATTTGTCACACCAATATTCCATTAGAATGGTTCAAAGTGTATCCTTTTTAGTTTTCTTCCCATTGTACCAATAACGTGTTATTTAACAAGAAACTATATTTAGGCAAATTAAGGTTAACTTATTGAAAACAATAAACAAAATTCCTTAGACCTACATTTTCAGCCAAATAAAACTTATTATCACTTAATGGTTACAAACATAAGTGTATTGGTTATTTCGCTACATATTTCAATATTCATAAACTTAACCTTCGTGTTATTTTGGTTGCTAAAGAAGAATATACAATAATGCGTCATCAATTAGTTAAAGAAAATCATTTTATTGGGTTTTTGACGTTAATTAAATCTTACCATCTTAGTGTTCCATAAAGACAACTTTCTAACGAATCATTTAAAATAGAGTGAATAACAATGTCATTTCGTTTAGACTGAATATCAGACTGGAACTTTATAAAATTAACTAATTTATCACTAATGATTAAGCAACATTATTACTTAAATCTATTAGAAGATAAATGATTGTAAACTGATACGTTGTGTTTGTGAAATTTCGTTATAATTTTTGTACTGTAATAAACCATTAATTACTTTATAAATAAATGGTGAGCAATATCGTGGGTTGATTGAATTTAGTCATTAACCTCGTTGAACTATAAACCACTGCTCTGGAGGTTAGGCGTCTGTACGCTAGATCGGTGATCCTGGGTGCGATTTCTGCATGCTAGATCGTGGATGGGCACTGCTGTGGAGTTCCGTACTAGGACCAATAGTCTGTCCAATGCTTCTATGTTTTTAACAGTGATTTATTATTGACCAATTCATGACCTCAATGTTTCATTATTGTTTTCGTAAATAACCATAGAAACTTCGACCTTCAGTGTGTATAGAAGAAGAATAACAAGTTGACGGGTAAAAGATTTCTGTAATTTAATTAATGATTTAAAGACTTTATGAAAAATTATTAATCTGATCTAAAAATTCTCTACGTTTTGTTTTAAGTTTCCAACGAAACTGTAATTATTTTCCTATCACCTGTGCGAATGCTCAGGATCTGAAAAGTCGGAAAAATGAAATTTTAGCAAATTCGATAAAAATGATCTTGGTGGTTTGGTAATAGTATTCCAACTCCAGACAATGGGTTTTAAGCGTTATTTAAACCCTAACGCTTCAGGCTGGGCTATTTCGTTTACTACCCTACATATGTGTTGTATTCAGTATAAGGTAAATTACTATGTAGACTTGAAAGTCTCATATGAGACTGGAGGTTCGCCATTGATATTGTGGATGGTCTGACATTACTTTGGTAAGTTTTGCTGACTGTTCATGCGCAAAATTGGTTTGCTGGTTAACCGATTTCATTCATACTTTTCAGTGTCCTCAAGGGCCATTGTCATTGGGAAATTGTAAGGTAAGTCACCATTGCTATCATTAATGAGTTTGACTGTCGTGTAAGCGGAATAGTTCAACTTTGGCCTGTTCGTGCTGTGCATAATTGGTTCACAAGATCAATAATCGAATAACAATACATGTGACATGAAGGTGTATAGGAATGGTGCGAATGGTCCACCAGAAAGCTTGGTACCTATGTGGTTACGCCACACGATTGAGCTGTACTATTCAGATTGTAGCATTAAAGCCTATACGATATCTGGTTATCCTGTGAAGCGTGATTGAGCTGCACTGCTCGGATTATACAATTTAAGCCTGGATGGTGTCTGGTTCTCCTGAAAACTGATGTAAAATTACCCTGGCCCATAAGAGTATATTATATAGCTATGAATAAACTGGATGTCCAAATGCTCAGTGAAACGGTATTCACAAGATATTCCAAAGATTTTATTACTTTTTCAAGATGATAATTACCAAACGTTTATAGATTAATAAACAATTTGATATTGATTCGTCTGAGTAGATAGAATGAGCTATAAAATGAAATGTATCCGTATTTAATACAACCAAATGTTTTGATGGAAAAAAACACAGTAAATCTTCATAGATGTGTTTATTGCAATATGATTGATTCCCGGTTAAAGCGGTTATTATTCTGCTTTTAAATTTGAAAGTACTACATTTTTTTCTTTACAAAAATAATGGTTTAGCAGAGAGTGAATATGTTTGAGTTGGATGAAACTCCTGTTTATAATCTACAATGGTTAAGATTGTATATAAATGATATTTACATCAAGAATTATCATAAATATGCCATAATTTTGAAATTTATTTCTTTTAAAAACTTATCACAGATAGCTTGGTATTGTTTTACTTTCCATTATTATTTAGGACTGCAATTGATCAGTCTCATGTTGGCATATGTGCATCTTGTGCGGATCGGCTCAATATATTCTTAAGTCACAAGCTTTTTAAACAAAGATGGATAGTGGCTAGCAGTAGAATACATCCTATTTGGTACTTGTCAATTAAATATATCTGTCTTCTATAAATAATGTTCACTCCCGGACTCGAACCCAGTACCGTTCGCTTAAAACGCCATCGAGTTATCCAATTGGCTACTGAGTCTTGATAGACTCCTGCTCATTAGCTAAGTGGATTCCACTGATAGCCACTATCCATCTATCACAGATAGCGTTTAAAAGCTAAAACTAGTCGGCATAACTTTTTATTTTGCAAAAACTAAGACTTCATAACCAACTTACACGACGAGAGCGTACAATTGAAGAATGACTCGAACCGGAATAAACGTTTTGATTGCAAGCAAATGTATACTTCTTATAAACACAAATATTGAAAGACTTATATTTGAACGATGAATATTCTTTTGATAAATTCTCTTCAGGTCCTGCAACAATCATATATCCAAATTAATAATTTGAATAATGACCAGGTTAAGGACAAAGCACATAGTTTAAAGTTAAAGAATGCAAAATTAGGATTGTCAAATAAAATAGAATAAAATTGTTAATGTTGATATAACTCATGAAGAATGTTAACTTGAAACAGCATATATGTGTGAGTGAGAATTTTAAGACCCCTGATCAGAATAAATATGGGTCAAATAGGGTGAGGGAAATAATAGTACAATTACAATTCGATCAAATGTTTAATCGAAGACTATGTACTTTGCCACTAACCTGAACATTTTTCGGATTATTAATTTGGATGTATAATTATTATAGAACCTGAAGAGAATTTATCGAAAAGAATATTCATCATTCAAATATTAATCTTTCAATATGATATAAGGATCTTTAAACCATCATAAAGATTAATCAATACAAAAGGTATATCTGTAACATTAAATGTTTTTCATTTCACTATACTACCAAAGGACTACTATTTATGAATAACTAACATTCCTATAAAAATAAACAAACTATAATGATAAAGTTTGCCCTTTATGAAAGTCCCATTTAAACATTAAAATTAAAACACGAATTTCAGCGAAGGGATCTCGAGTACGGGAACATATTCCAGCTTGGTTTCATAAGAGGGAAAGCAGTTAGAAGTTCTATACTTTAACACCTAATCGAATGTAACCATTCTACAGATCCAAGAAATGAATTTAAGGTTGTTTATATTATTCGTTCAAATCTACTCAGATTTCTTCGCATCCCACTTTTAAAAATAGCCGAAGCTCTTACCATGCAGGAGCTTAAATCAGAACTATGCGTACAAAAGAAGTACGTTTTATCGTTACCTTGGCCTTAATTATTTTGATTATCCTATTATTATTATTATCATTATTATTATTATTATTATTATTATAACTGCATTCTCCCCTTTACTTATGTCTTATATTCTCATTGTTTTATTCGTAAATACTCATCATATCACCATATTTATTTATTTTTACACCTCTATGACCTTTAATTATTATGACAAAAACATTTTATCAGAAGGGATTTGTGGAGATTTTAGAAATTTTCACAGATTTAAATCATGAGTCAGTTGAAGCTAGACCACCATTGAAAACCTGGAAGCACTGGACGGCTGTTTCATCCTAGTATGGGACTCCTCAGCAGTGTGCATCCACGATCCCGCACCACGCGGGGCTCGAACCCAATGCGCAACATCATTAACGTTTCTAAATAGTTAAGTTTAACTAAAATTAGATTTGTATATTAAATATGAATACTTAATAAATAAGTTTAGATACTATGGTTGTACATTAAATGTTTCTTGAAAATAGTCAAGTTTATCATGTTGTTTATATTTTGAAACTGATAATAGATTATTCAATTTCAATAATTAGGTTCATAACGGGAAACAATCTCAAAATCATTATTCATAATTTTCATTAGTGAATTTTTCATACTTGGATACAAGAAACATAACAACTTATGGCGCATTTCTCATTCACAACACACTTTTTTAAAAGAATAAACTAAATAGAAGTAATATTATTATTATTATTATTATTATTATTATTATTAACTTTAGTCCCTGCCAATCTGTATTGTAAGTTTTGTTTTTATTCGTAATTGTTTAAATCTGTAATAATCATAACATAATTCTGATTGGTTACTTTGTTATTTATTTATTGGAGTATTATTATATAGTGTAAATTAATTTTACAAATGAACTAGTTCAGTTTCAAAAACACAATTACTACTGTACTATATTTAAGATGATTGAAAAGAATTTGGAATTATTTTGTTTATATAATTATACAGATATACTTTATGTCTTCTGTATGAATGTATCCAATAGATTGATGAATAAACTAAAATAAGAACAAAAATTGTACTATGAATGATATCATGTCCGAAACAGTGATTTCAATGAGTGAAAATAATCAAAATGATATACAAGATAGTGATAAAGTCTATCCAATTACAACAAACACTATACAATCAAATATGTGCCCTGATAAACTACTGAATATATCACCAATATATTCAGTTAAAAATCTAATACATGAATTAAATTCTAGTACATCAATGACTTCAAGTAACACTGTAGTAAAAACGTCGTTTTGTCCAAACGTTACCTTCAATGGAGAGATAAATGTATTTACTAATTCTAATTATAACACAAATTCTTCTACAAATGAAACTATATCATTTTGTACAAAACAAAGTGATAGCATCATTTCTACTAATGTTAGTAATAGTAATAGTCTTGATCGGTCAACTTATATAATTCTACCACAAAATAATTGTATACCATTTTATACATTACAAAGAAATTCATTTTATAAATCAGCTTATCGGCCACAGTTATCATTATCTTGTCAACCATCACCAAACATCTCATATAATCGTACATTTTCTAATGATATTAATAACAATTTATTAAGGTAAGTAAAAATGCTTATGACTTAAATCTTATGTTTACTTTGAAATATACAACTCCTAACATGGTTTAGGTGTTCACTTAGTAATATATTCACAGTGTTTGTACTTGTAAACAGTTTAACATTAAACCTGAAATTAAGATCCATGTTTTGATTATTACAATATGTAACAAAAAATCAAGCTTATATATATCATATATAATGTATTATTGCCAGTGAAATCAGCCTTATAATCACTCTTCATTCGTCTCAAGATTGTATTGTGATTCAACTGGATGGATTAGTTCCATATTTTCCATAAAAATTAGTAATTAGTCGGATATTTACTAGCTAGCAGTCCTTTCTCAACCATTGTAATAGTTTTCACGTCGATTAATATCCTCACCTTTATCAGTGCGGATAATTTCTTAAAGTTTTAACTCAGGTGTAATCCCCTATCTTTACTTATTTAAGAATGTAGAAAATATTATTTATCATTTTTATTAATTTGTGTAATAATAAACTGATTTTATCATAATGAACGAAGTTAATGTGTATAGAGGCACATGAGTGTCAGCCTAAATTGTCACAAACTATATCAGCGCACACAGGAAATACTTTATTAAGTCGAAGTCAAGAGTTCCTGAACTTATAGAAAGAGGGAAGATGAATAAAATCGAGTACGAAACATTATGAAGCAGTATTGCATCTCAACATTTACAGAAAGACGAAAGGTAAAATCACCAAATCATTGTGACTGGTTTCGAAGGATTCCATCTAATGATTTCAATAGAGATCATTGATATTTTGGAAACATCAAACACAAAGTATGTACTCTATCCTTAAGACTCAATCAAAGAATAAATTATTTCGTCGAATTAAATTCTGCTTTATTTATAGTTGCTTTCCAAATAGTTTTTTTTCAATTAATAAAATTAAACCGAGCTTTAGTGTATGATAGTAGCTAGCAGTGGAATCCAGGAAGCAAGTTTCGTCCTATTTATTAAATGATCCTAAAATGAAATAATTCTTAAGTTCAAAATGAGATATCCATTTTAATTGTCGAGATCATTAGTCAATTGAAGCTAGACCAACATGATAAACCTAGAAGCACTGGACGGCCGTTTCGTCCAATCGTGAGATTCCTCAGCAGTGCGCATCCACGACCCCACCCTGCAGGATTCGGACCCATTTACCTATTTTTCAATAATAAATCAGTTCAACAAGTTAAAATGATAACTATCCTATCTAGCTAATAAACACAGTATCACTTTTTCATTCATAATTTGCCTGTTTACTTGGTTTTCTTCGATTTTCGAAATAAATAAATTAAAAGAGAAAGTTTTTTATGTATCATTAATTTTACGCCTTAAAGAATTGTGTGCGCATAAAAACATTAATTAATACCTTCTTTTTTTAATACTTAATACATCAATATGAACTTATGCCGTCTGAATCTAAATGAAATAAATAAGAAAATATTATTCAGGTATTTTATCTTTTAATTGAATTAGGATTATTGCTATGATCGTTTACAATTGATTGATCACTGGGTGGTGATCAATGTTATGTATGTCAGGTCCTTCTTAGTGTATATCAAATCCTATCGATCAAGATGCAGTGTGACTCGAAATTGCGAGTACTAAGTTGAGATCAGATGGCGGTTGGAGTTAATCAACAGGAAATAATGAACACTGGATCGAATCCGTCACGGAACAATAGTTACCACAACAATACAGTTACATTTTGCTGACGACTGCCAAGTTTCACAAAACCTAGGTTCAGAGTTTCCTGTTGACTACCTTCAACCATTAGCTATGATTATTGTTATCATAAAATAATAGTTTAATTTATCAAGTCACTGAAATCAATAAATATGTTTCTACTTTATAATACATACATAGTCATATGTTCAGTAAGATTACTTTCAAACAATATTTGTTACTTGAGTTATACCTAAAACATACATATGTAAAAATACACTTAATAGTTCCCTGAATATCAATAAATATTTGAGAAAAAAATATTATTAACATAAAATCAGTTTGTTTAATTTAAACTGAATCTACTAATTATAGCTGAAACTAATAGAAAAAAGAGTTAAATAACTAACAGAACAAAAAAGTCAATTATCAAATACTGTCCCAGTCTGTAAACAAACAATAACAACTAGCTAAATGTAGAAACTAAACAAAAACAAAAAAAAAACGATTTTCCGTTCTGGTGAATATCACTTGAGTATAATTCAATAATTAAACATCATTGTAAACCATACATAGGTGGGGGAACTATTTTTACAAATATACGAAACTAATTCCTTTCTTTTTTTATTATAAAATTTCGTCAGTTTATTTTAACGATAGTAATCTGAAAAAAAGTGAGGTTATGACTAGTAATTTTATTTTTCATAGTAGCGTTTAAGCAACAACAATCCCCCTAGATGCCCTGGTATGGCCGAGAGTGGGGTGGGCGCGCCCTCCCTCTCGAAATGCTTTCACACGGCCACGCGTATACAGCCCCTGTCAGGGAAGTTCTACTCACTGCCTTCTCACAACGAGGGTGTTGTTTATGAAAATGAGAGGAGGAAAGGCGAATGTCCGGCGCTTTAACTGGATCTCAAACCAAATCAATGGCGCACATGGGCTCCAGTATCCTGCGGGAATAAATGGCGTATGAACCAATCGTTCGTCACCGGCTACCATGTGGGTTAGACCTTTAGGTCAAAGGCTCTGGGTGTGGCCCCCTAAGAAAACCATCCGCTTCGGTCAGGGCACCCGGACAGTATCCCAGCCCTCACACAAATCGTATGATCTGTATGGCGCATATCTGTTTGGTGCCTCCTCATACCAATGTTTATGTGTTTAAATAAATAAATAAAATAACCGGATAAACGTTTTACCTACATAAATGTATAGGCACCTTTGAAGAAAATAGAAATTTTTCAAGCTGTTATTGATATAAGTTTGCTGAATATGTATGTTCTGCTGAAATGGTTTTTAATATTAGGTAAGCTGTTTGGAAATTATTACAATAATAAATTTTTTAGAGATCCCCATCATATTAAAAGATTAAGATTTGAACGAACCACATTATTTTCGATAAATTCTCTTCAGGTCCTGCAACAATCATATATCCAAATTAATAATTTGAATAATGACCAGATTAAGGACAAAGCACATAGTTTAAAGTTAAAGAATGCAAAATTAGGATTGTCAAATAAAATAAACTTGTTAATGTTGATATAACTCATATAGAATGTTAACTTGAAAAAGCATATATGTGTGAGTGAGAATTTTAAGATCCCTGATCAGAATAAATATGGGTCAAATAGGGTGAGGGAAATAATAGTACAATTACAATTCGATCAAATGTTTAATCGAAGACTATATTGAAAAACTAGTTAGACATAATAAGGAGGGATAATGCGAAGTGAACGAACCATGCATAGGGGAGATTAATAATGTTTAATGAAGTTAGACATTGACACCGTTGAATGCCTGCTCAGTGGTCTAGTGGTTAAGCGTTCGTGTGTGACTGATAGGTCCTGGGTTCATATCTCGAGAGGCGGAGTCGTGGATGCGCACTGCTGAGGAGTTCCACAATAGGATGAAACAGCCGTTCAGTGCTTCCAGGTTTTCCGTGTTGGTCTAGCTTCAAGTGACTCATGATCTCAACTATTGAAATTACTCCAATCTCCACAAAACCTCTTCTGGTATTAACGATGTTTAAGCAATGTTAATATTAATAATAATAATAATAATAATAATAATAATAATAATACAAAGATTTGTAAATAAAGATAACAGAGACAAATACATTTGACTACGAAAGGTCGTAAGTACGATAGTCAAATTACATCATTCAATAGTTAAGATTATTATTGATTAGTTCGCCTTGAGTTTGGCCAGGGGAAGAGAAGTAATTGAAGATATTGCTTCTGTAAGCATAGCTCTTGTTTCTTCATCCGGAAGGCTACTGCTTCAACCGTTTGAAGGACTTCAACTCTGAAACAAGCTAATTTGGTTACATAATTGTAGAACCTGAAGACAGTAATAAATCCGCATTACAAATTCAACATGACAAAGGATTTTAATTCAATTAAATGTTCAAACAGTGTGTATTCATTCCAAAGAAAGAGGATGATACAAAATGGCACGCAATTTATGTAATTTGACCAGTTTCATCCTAACTAGATGACGTCAATAAAAACTCCATATTCAGTATTATGTTTCGACTATATAATTACAATTTCTATCCAGCGACTAGACAACTACACTTGAAATAGTTTTTTTCTGTTAGAAAAATGCGAACATAAATTATTTACTTCATAAAACATACATTTTAAATAAAATTGAAACCCTCCAACTCAAAATAAGTAATAACGTGTGACTGATAAGTGATTTGTCTTTCTTTATTACAATGAAAATATCCTAAAATAACACTGCTAGTTATTCAGTTTTAATTTGATATTATTTAGAATTTGGATTAATAAAAATATCTACAGAGACGAATTAATGCAGTTTTATCACAACTACGATGTTATTACAAAATACTACGATTTTGTTTGATAGAAATGATATAAATATATATTCAATGTATATGCTAACACATATAGAATTCTGTCGAAGAGATACTAGTATCAACATTCAGACTAACTATAATGTCTCTAAAATCTCATCGATGTCTAAAATGAAAAGAAGAACGTATAATATTCTTGTGTTAAGCTACTCAAAAATTTTTAATTCACAATTTCACCTCAAACTATAAAACATTTGCTACTATTAATTGTTTATAGTTACATACGATTGATTTATCTCTGAGAAATGACTAGTATCGTGTTTGTCTAATCCTTAATTAACGATGCAATTCTAGCGATAGCACTGTATAGCCACTGGTCTAATCGAAAGCGGTCACTTCTTAGCAATTGGTCCATTGTAAATATCTCATACACAATGGATGCTAATAGCGCTCTGAATAACTTGTTTGTAACATCAAAGACTCAAAAGATGTCAAATACCATCATT